TATATATATATACAATGTATATTTAAATATATGTATACATGATCACCCTGCTACTGGTAACATGTAACTATTTTTTTGTGTGTGCCTTTTATATAGTTAGAGGTGCATTAGTTACTGTTTTAGCTCACCTGTAATCAACTTTATATGTATATTTGTGTTCTGTCTAAACCTCTAGCACAGTATTGACTCACCTGAAATATTACTATCAGCATGGTTATGTTCTGTCTGAACCTCTGGCATGGTGTTTACTCATTTGTAAGTTACTTTATGTGTATTTGTGTTCTGTTTGAACCCCTGGGACGGTGTTTATTCACCAGTAAGTTACTTTATATTTATCTATGTATGTTTGTGTTCTGTTTGTTTATGTTTATATATATGTTTGTGTTCTGTATGACCCTCTGACATGATGTTGGTTCACCCATAAGTTACTTTGTATATGTATGTTTGTGTTCTATCTGAACCTCTGGCATGGTGTTTACTCACCCATAATATATTTTAGGCATGTCTGTGTTCTGTTTAAATGTTCTGTTTAAATGTTTAAACCTGTGTTAATGCTGTGTGAGCTTATTAACTAACTAGTTACTCTAACTATAAACATACGCTCACCTTAATCTCTACTATTTTGTTAGATGTTATATTTTTCCGAATGCATTTCCAAAATATCATGTCTAATGTTTTAAGGTACTGTTTGCAAGAAGAAAGTCGTTTTAATTATTCCAGGTCAGGTCAGGTTTAGGATCATCACAATCACGCTGCTACAGCTATCATCTAACCCAGTATATACCCTGTGCCATGCTTTGCTACCCTGTAATCGCCTTTACTCAAGTAATAGCCCCCAAGCAATAGCCCCTATGCTTTGCCTTGGGGCTTATTGCTTGAGTAAAGGCGATGATGGGTCATTTTCAATTGAGATGGTGTCATCATGAATGCTGGATCTTTTTGAATCTTCTCATAGGTTTTTGCTTTTGCCTCCTTGATAGTGGCTATGCAACTCTTCCTGTTATCTCTTAATGAAGGTACATCTCTAAAACTCAGTTTAATTGCTCTGACACTGGCGGGTAGTAAGGTTTTCTGATCTCTGTGGTAGCTCTCAGAGAGGCTGATTTCATCAACAGCTGCAAAATATCAAAGTATTAACAGCGCCATGTTGCACATGGATGGTGTCCCTGTTAATGCTTTTAGTGCACATTGTCAAGGTCACATAAAGAGCCCTATGTTACAAATTAAGGTTAATTAACAGGATTAATACAAGGCTTGCTCTTAGTGAGACCAATTCACCTATTTGTTGTAAAATCAGGTTCAAATCCTTTGAGCATTCTTTTATGTGTTTCCACTTAACACCTCTTCACTTTATCACCTTTTTTTTTGCTCTTTACCATTCTCCTTCCTCCCATAACTGTACTCTTTCAAATGTAATTTCTGATCAAATTGACCATGCCCTCTCTTTTTACACCTCTGCAAGTATTGTTATTGTTGGTGACTTTAATGCTCATCACAATGAATGACTTGGCTCTAATGCAACTGATCCTACTGGCACTAAAGCTAATAGCTTCTGCATTTCTTAATCTCTTACTCAGATAGTTAACTTTTGTTCTCCTGACAACCCTAATTATTTACTTTTACTCCTTGATTTATGTCTTGTCTCTGATCTTAGCTTGTGTTAAGTTTTTTTTCTACTTTTGATGGTTCTGACCATGCAAAGATCTCTTTAAATCTTTTATCTCATACTTCCTTTTCAGACCAACTCTATTATATTCTTTCTTCCATTCCAATCAGGGTTGGCAAAAACCCGGGTTTTTGACCAAAAACCCAACCTAGCTGGGTTTTTGATGGGTTTTTGCTAAAGTTTGGTATAAATCTTTAGTAATCAAAGTTTGATTAATTTATAGTTTATAATATAATAAAGCTATTTTTCATTTTTTACAGGTATACTTTCTTATACAAAAGCTTTATTAATAATCAGATTGCATTTTTTTATAATATAAATCTATTTTTAAATAGAGTTATCTTTTTAGTTAAATTTAAAATATAAGTAGATTATACGTCTTCAACATGCCAAAGTATCATTCAGGGGGAATAAATAAGGCTAGTGAGTGAAATGAAGTGACCATATTAAGTGATCAACCAAATAGAGTAATATGTAATTATTGCAAAGTGAGCATAATTAAAAAAATAGAAAGAGTTTCATTTCAGAGATCCATTTGGATAAATGCAGAAGAAAGAATAAACGAAGCAATAATAATTCCGCTGAAGTGTTAAGTGATATATCAGTTTTAGAGTCAAGGCCGTCTACATCTGCAGCATCAAATAAGTCTAGCCTGTCTGATGATAATGAGCAAGATGGTTTAAGCTTTATTAGTGATTCTTTTTATTCGTCAATTGTTCAGTCAACTGCAATGACGATGCAACAGCAAACATCTATTTCTAAATTTGTTACTACAACAACAAGTAATCAGAAGGATGAACCGGATTTACAAGTTGCAAGATTTTTCTTTTCAGCAAATATACCATTCAACGTAGTAGAAAATCTTGAATTTACCAAGCTGCTTAAAAAACTTAGATCTGGATATGAGCCACCAAATAGAAAACAGATATCTTCAGAACTCTTAGTAAAGATAAATGAAGAAGTAATCAATTTAATGAAAAATGATCTTGCTGATGATAGTGCTGTTACCCTAATTCAAGATGGTTGGAGTACATTCAGTAATGATCCTATAATTGCTCATAGCATCCATAGTAAAAATAAACCTTATCTCATTTCTGCAACTGACACTGGAAGCCAATCAAAAACAGCAGAATATTGCGCTCAAGCTGCTAAGGATGCAATTAAAATTGCTAAAGAAACGTTCAATAAAGATGTAAGTGTTAGATGTTTAACTGCTTTATTTAATGTATATATATATACTATATACATATACATTTATATATATATATATATATATATATATATATATATATATATATATATATATATATATATATATATATATATATATATATAAGGCCTCAACGGAAGAACGATTTTAATAAAATGATTTTTGGGGTGATTTTAATTCGTTAAACTACATGATGGTGTTTTAAATCTTAAAAATTGATTTTCTCAAAACATCAAAAGTGTGACTCTGATCGTTCTTCCGTTGAGGCCTTCATATATATACACATATATGTTTCATTTTTTATTTAGGTATTTGCAGAATGCACTGACAACGAAAATAAAATGTCTAAAATGAGAAAACTTTTGCAGGCTGAAGCCCCTAAGTTGATAACATTTGGTTGCTCTGCTCATTTTTTAAATTTGGTTGAAAAGGATGTCTCTCCAAAGTCTATAGTAAAGCATATTATAGTAATTCATAAATATTTTCGTAATCATCACCAACCACATGTATGTATTAAATTCTTTACTTATTGATCATATTCTGTAATACAATACTATGAAATAACACAGCTGTGTTAATGATATAAGCCTAATGATAATGATGGCAAAAGAGATCCTAGCTTTATTTTAACAAAATTATTTTTTAATATTTCTTTGTTAAATTTTCTTAAATAAATTTATTATAGGGTTGGTTATTGGAAAAAGGTGGACTGATGCCACAGCTACCTAATGATACTCACTGGAACTCCCAACTAGATTGTTTACAGACATACATATCTAATCATTCTCTGTACGTTGACATTAGAGGTGAGCATATGGAATCCATTGATCCTTCGATAGGAAGCCTAATTGACAATCTATCAATACAGAGAGAAGCAATAAATTTATATGCACAACTGAAAATTGTTGGTGTTGCGTTAGATAAGGTTAATAAAATTAGTTATTAATTGGATTTATTAAATTTAATTATATTAAGTATATTAAAACCACTTATATTAGGAACAATGTCACCATTAACTTTATTTACCTAATTATTAGCAAAATTATTGTGTTTACTGTAGTTGCAAGCAGACGATACAACTTTGTCTGAAGCAGTTGAGATTTGGCAAAGCCTCATACATAATGAAAAATTGGCTTTGTACAAAGATGATATTTTAAAGAGGTTCAAGAAGGCAATTGTTCCATGTCATTTTCTTGCCAATTTAACAGATCCAAAATATGAAGGTAACTAAACAATTGTAAAAAACTTAAAGTATTGCATCTGATTAATTTTTAATAAAAACAAATGTAAAGTTTTTATTTAAGTTTACTACTCTTATAACTTTACTTATTTACTTAGGAAGAACATTGGATAGAAGTCAAGAAGAAGAAGCTGAGGAATGGTTGAATGAAGTCTATCCTGAATTTATGCCAGGCTATTATGCGTTTAAACTAAAAGATGCTAATTGTTTCCCAACATATTTATTCAACGATAGTGTTAAAAGCACAACATCAGCAACAAATTGGTGGAGAATTATAGAAATGAAAGAATCTAAGTCTTCCAAATTGCCTGCAAATTTTGAAAAATTTTTACGGCAGTTGCACACTTGTCCAGCTAGTACTGAATCCATAGAAAGATTTTTCTCATCTTTTGGGATTATTTGGAGCAAAATTAGAAATCGTTTAGGAAGAGAAAAAGCTGAAATGCTTGTACGAATTTACAGACATTTAAGATCAAGATGCACAATTGCTGATGACTTTTAGATTACTTTGTTTTAAATGATTAAGCTTGAATATTATTGCTCCAAGTAAAATAAAATTCTTATTTATGACTTACTAAACTTCATTTTTTGTTGTTAGTTGAGCAGCATCAAATCTTGTGTGTTAATGGAAATTGATTTATGAACAAAAAAATTAAAAATTAAAAATTTAAGACCAAAAACCCATAAAGTTGGGTTTTTGGTGGGTTTTTGGTCTTGGGTTTTTGGGTGGGTTTTTATGTGGGTTTTTGGGTTTGGGTTTTTGGGTACCAACCCTGATTCCAATTAAACAGGTTAACCCATCGTTAGACATTCAAATCACTCTAGTTTTCGTTGCTAAAGTCATATCTCAATTAAACTCTTCTAAGGGTTGTGGTCCAGATAACATTCCAGGCCTTGCGATAAAGCGTCGGGCGATGTGAATTTTACGTCGTCCAAGAGCGATTTTGCGTGTGGCTAGGACTATTTGCGTCGATCAAAAAAATTTTTGTTTGAGTATATTTAAAGATATTTTTGAGCGGAATTTTAATGAAGTAATTCACGATTATTTTAACATTTAATAAAGTATTTTAAAAACCGCACGCAGTTGAAATAAAAGTTTGAATTAAAAAAAATTAAATATGCTCATTATTTACAAGAAGAAAAAATTCAGATTAAAAAAAAAAAGTTTAAATCTTTTAAGCTAACATTTTAATAAAATTATTCAGCAATAGCAAAGTTGTCAATAAAATTGAACAAAAATACTTTCTTTTAGTTTTAGATTTTAAACTTAATTATTTTACGGGGGTTTGTTAGGTTTTAAAATTATTCTATAGATTTAAAAATATTTATTAACTGTTAGACGTATTTAAAGTATTTAAGAGTAATTTCGAGGAAACATTTTAAAAATTGGTGAGCGCAAATAAAAAAAAAAAAAAGGATTAATATTAAAACGTATTCTACTTGATTCAATAAAAAAGTACAGTTATTAAAATTTTTGTAAAAAGTAACTCAAAAAAATTACTTAATAACGATCGCTTTTATGTTAAAAGTTACCGAAACTCAACAAAGCATGCTCAAGAACAGCTGCTGAAAAATAAAACGCCAAAAGTTTTTCAAATAATTTTTAATAATAATTTTTAAGAATAATTTTTTCGCTGAAATATTTCTTTTATACCTATAAGATTTTTATTCTAACATTTTATTTTATTTTACTAGAAATAAAATTCCTTCAAAACGTGACAAACGTCGAGAAAATAAACAAATGTTTTTACATTTTAAAAAACGAAACATTCCAAAACCTTTTTAGATAATAACATTTCTACATAAACGATTTAAAGTAGTTTTGCGGTAATTAAGTAAATTGGTGCAGTTAATGTCGATAAATATGAAAAGCAAATAAAAAGAATTTAATGACGTCAAAAATCACGTCGTGCTTATGCGTCGCGCAGTTCTTATTCATCGCAAGGCCTGACATTCCTGTCATAGTCTTACAAAATTGTTCTCCAGAACACTCTTCAATTCTCTCTAAACTATTCAATAAGTGCTTGATTGTGTCTTGTTTTCTTGCCTACTGAAAATCAGTCTTCTTTCTGTTACTAGCAAGGTCTTTAAGTCTTTGAATAACAAACTTCTCGATCTTAAGATATTTATAGAATTATAATTTATTATCAAATTTTTTGTTTGTCTTGTCATTATCTTTAAATAAACATTAAACTTTGAAGTTCATATAAGTTTTAAACATTTCTAATTATTTTCATTTTAAAAAATCACTATTGTTTTATTTTTTATTTTGTTAACTTTAGTTAAAAAATTTCCTATATCTTATATTTTCTTATTTTATTTAATTGCATTATTATGTTTTTTCTCATATATACAAGTTACTGTTTTTTAAGTTTTTTGTCAACTTTCTTTTCTTTTAATTATTTTCTTTATTTTCTAGAAAATCCCTCATAACTACTTGTTACTTGCAGCCATTTTAGAAGCAAATTAGTTAAAACATAAGAAAATAAAAATATTTTTATTTTCTGTATCCTAATATACTTATGTTTAAATTTTATTATGATCATTTTGTTGCTAATATTTCTTGATCCCATCTTTAATCCCAAACTTTTCACATCTCATCTTCAATCCCAAACTTCTTACATCCCATCTTTAATCAAATAACTTACTGTCAGACAATCAATACTGTTTTCGATCCCCTCTTGATTATGATTTCATTTCATCCTTAAAGACCATTCTTCTTCACACTTCTTCATTTCCAATAACTTCTGGGGTACCTCAACTCTTGGTCCTATCCTGTTTTGTTTCTTATCTACATTAATGATCTTCCTGACAACCTTACATCTAAAATAGCTCTCTTCATAACTCATGTAAAATTTATAATTTTTAATGCTCACAACTTATATAGTTGTTCTGTAAATAATACATCTGCATTTAAAGTTACAATATTTTAAAAAAAGTTCTTTTAGAGTTATAAGCAATTTCTTGCAATTTCTTATTAACATCAATTTACTGATTCATAATAAATTTTTTTAATCATAAATTATTACTTTTTGTTTTGAAAACCTTTTCTCTGAATTAAAAAAAACTCACAAAAATATTAATATGTAAATATAACTGATAGAAAATAATATTTAAAGTTATATATACCTGATTTTTTTTCTTTTTATTTTTAAAGTTATATATACCTGATTTTTTTTCTTTTTATTTAAATAACTTCACTAATTTAGATAAACTTTAGATTCGTCATTTGAATTTATGTATTTATTATATTTATTTTAAAGTTGTTATTGATATGTATTATATTAAAACATTGATCAAAATTGTATTTAACAAACCAAAAATTGGAAATTTTTATGTTTTTATTAATCCTTGTTTTTACATATCTAGTTATTGTTATACAAAATATTAAGTTCTTTGGTGTTTATCTTGATGATGGCAATGAAGGCAAGAGAGAGAGAAAGAGTACAGTAATACTAACCCAAGAATTTATGTGTTACGTTTAAATTATGTGTTACGTTTAAATTACAATTAATTTATTTTTATTTTATTTACAAATCTTTTTTAGGAATCTCTTGAAAGAGTGCTATATCTTTGAAATAAAAATTCTATAAGTTTCAGTTGTTTTTCCAGTTAAATTTATAAGTATATAAATTTCAGTTGTTTTTCCAGTTAAATTTATAAGTATATAAATTTAAGTCTAGTAAAATTATAAGTAGCTGAAAATAAAATAAAAATTTAATGGGGGTGTTTTGAGGGCCCTAAAGTTAGATCATAAGGTAGTTGTTTTATTAATTTTTAAGCATGTTTCTTTCAAATTTCAGCATTTTAAATAAAAAATATTGCAAGCAATATTTTTTTATAAGGAGTCATGTGCCAAAATATAAAACAAAAAGATGACACATGATTCAATGGACTGGGTGATTACTCCTATATTACAACCTCCTTTTCTATGACTGCTTCTCTTGTCCTCCATAAAATTAAATATAAAATTTATTGTGGTTTCTGCATATGACAATAAAAACCTTGTACATAAATGTCAATTTATTCTAATAATTTTTTCTTTATATATAAATTCAATAAATAAAAAATCTTAATAAATTTTTGACACAAATAAAAAGTTACATAATAGAACTGCACAATCATTTGTAGTTGGTTTTATTTTTGTAAAGGTTATTTAAATAACACACTTTATCTACACATGTCTATGTAGATTATTACTAATATAGTACAGAAGATCTATTTTTTATCTCCTGAAACATCAAGTGAAGTGGGAGATAACAATATAAAACTGATTTTTACCTAAGTTTTCAGCAATAGCAATTATCGATTTAGCTGCTTTTGTGCGGAGAAACCATGATTGACTTGTAAGAAGCTGATTTATGTCATCAAATATCTCCTTTATGTATAACTTAATTGCAGAGATATTTCCTGAAAAAAGTATAAATCTAAATTAAAAAAATTAAAAAAAATAAATCATGTTTGGTTGTATCAGTAAATAACCAATGTTAATAACTGATACAACTTGTTATTAACTGATACAACTGTGATACAAGTGTGATTAGATACACATGTTATTAACTGATACAACTGTGACACAAGTGTGATTAACTGATACAACTAGGATACACGTGTTATTAACTAAAACAACTAGGATACACGTGTTGTTAATTGATACAACTGTGATACAAGTGGTATTAACTAATACAACTGTGATGCAAATGCTATTACTGATACAACTGTAATACATGTGTTATTAACTGATACAACTAAGATACACATGTTGTTAACTGATACAACTGTGGTAAAATTGTTATTAACTGATACAATAACTAAAATAATACTTAAAAAGAACACAAAAAAACGTTTGACAAAAAGAGGTTACCATAAAACATAGAAACAAGGTTGACAATCTTTTTCCTACCTTAAACACTTCAGTTAGGTCAGCATTGCTGAATGTTGACCTTATTCTGAGGGCTGTGTATATATATATATATATATATATATATATATATATATATATATATATATATATATATATATATATATATATATATATATATATATACATATATATATATATATATATATATATATATATATATATATATATATATATATATATATATATATATATATATATATATATATATATATATATATACACACATATACATATATATAAACATATAATAAACTTATTGAAAAACAACATAAAATACAGTCTAATGCTATTTATGAATAATTGTTTCATTGTCTCTGAGAAACTTATAAACCTAACAACAAAAAAATATTTATTCTAGTCGATCAGAAAACTATGTACACATAGATTAAATGTAAAACCTGATGTATTATTATTCCATATTTCTTCCCACATCTCCTGGATATCTTTTTCAATTGGAGACAATTCTAATAGAAATCAAATTTTAAAAAATCTTAATTGAATACATATTTAAACTTTTTTTTTAATGGTATTATGTATTATACAGATTTTGCTAGTTAAAATAATTAATTCTGACCTCTTAAATGAAAGTAATACTGATTTATTTGTTATGGTAAATGTTATAAATAGAAGATTTGTTAATTGAGATACAAAGTAGAATAACAAATAAATTTACTACTAAATAAAGGATAAGTTATAAAATATTAATTTTTTTTTTTCTCTTATTTTTTTTGCTGAAATAAAAGTCTATATAGTTTTATCTGTTAATGTTGACATCACACCTTTTCATTGGATTATTGATTAAAGTGAATAAAGTCCTAAATGTTTGTTTATATTTATTAGATAATTTGAAGTTTAAAAAGTTTTTGTTTCTTTTATTATACTTAATATTATTGTAAATAAAATCAAATTGATTGAGTTCATTGATTTCTTGTGCTGGGTACCCAGTAAAATTTTTTTGTTATTCTAATAACAAAAATTTTTTGTAATTTTTGTTATTAGAATAACAAAAAAATAATTTTTGGAGTTGCTAGCTAATTTTTGGAGGTGGCTGGCTACTCCTGAAGTAGGTCAGTAAATTTTTCAAATGCTCAGGAATCCTGGAAGATGAGGGGTACTCTGTAATTTATGTATGTTTGCCAGGTAACTTAAAATTACCTGGTACTTGGTACACCACAGGATTTTTCATGTAACCAACACCTCTTTTTGTGTTTCTGGGTTGCCAGAACCTCCAAAAATTAAAAAGCACCTCTAAAACTACCAGGCAACTCCAATAATTGCAAGGTAAACCAGCGCATCTAAAAAAATCGCCCATACCCAGCACATCTCTAACTTCTTGTAGTAAACTATTTTATATCATAGTTGTAATGCTCTACATAAAGGTCCACGATGAAAACTTTGTAGGTTGCATGCTTTATTGTTGGTTGATTTGAAATACATCTTTGTTATTAATTTGCAATTTGTTATTAATAATGACACTTAGCAATGTAAACTTGTTAACTCAATTTTAAACTTGTCGTCAATTATTTTGGCAGCATTATTTTAGTTGTACGCTAGTTAATATCATTGCTTTTGTTATATTCTAATTGATGTCCAGTTTATTAGCATAGTACCATTCAGTAAATTTATTAAATGTCCATAAGGGCTTCTTATTAGTTGGTTAATTTTTGTTATACTTGTTATTAAAGTTGTGTGACCTGCAATTAATGTTGATTCATATAGTATTAAAAACTCAGAGTGAACATTGATGAAAAAAAAAATTGGGGTCCTAAAATGGAACCCTGTTTTATACCAATATTCACTTGTTCCTCATTAGTTTGTGGATTGTCAACATTTGTAAATATTCTTCTATTGCAAAAATAGTTGCTTATTAATTTCAATGCAACAGTGGGAAAATTGTAATGCTTTATTTTTAAAGCTTTTGGATTCAATTAAATTTGGAAAAAATCCAAAGCTTTTCTAAAATCAATAAACGTTAATAATGTAAAGAGTTTTTAAAATTTTTTTTTAACATTTATTAAAATTTAAATTAGAAGTTTTTAAACATTTATTAAAATTTAAATTGAATGTTGAAGTCATATAAATCTTTTGAGTTAAATTTTTAAGTTTGTTTTTCAGATAATTTTTTTTTCTTAGTTTAATCAAATCTCTTTATATTTTGTTTGTTGTTCCAAAAGTGTCATTGATTGCATTGATGCACGCAAGTGTCATTGATTGCATTGATGCATGCAAGTGTCATTGATTGCATTGATTACAATTGGATATAAATCTTTTTCTTAGTTTTCTGCTTTTGATTTGAGTAATTGAGTACTCCAGTCAAACAATCAACCACTGCGAAAACTATGGTTATCATATTTTATAACTAAAAGAAGTTTTTAATGTTTAAATTTTCCAAAACTTTTTCTTAATAAAACATCAAACGCACTTTGAAAGCAGATAACCTTTAGCACCATATAAAGTGATTTTTTAAATTTGTTCTCACCTGAATATGAATAATCTCATACTTAAAACTTTTTCAGAAATGTAAAATTTTCAAGTTGCTTTTAATATTGCTTTCTCATTAATGTTATCTTCTCTGTCTCTAAGCAGACTGTTATTAGAATGAAATTCTTGTGTATAATACGTGTTATTAAGTTTTGTTCATTAAGTTTTATTACATCTATCAAATTTGAATTCATTTTCTGTAATTTTTATTTATAAAAACTCTTGGTCGATGAACTTTTCTGAATTTTTGCTTTTTCTTAAAACAATAATAACTGATGTTTGTAATAATATATTAATGCTTAATGGTAAATAGAGAGAAAAAGTTTTCAGAAAAATAATTATAATGCAGAAAAAATAAAAAACTTATCCTGAAGTAAAAATGCAGCTCGGTTAAATGGTTTAGAGAGAAAAAACAAACAAACTAAATGTATTAACTTGAATTAACTATATATTTAGACTAGAGAATCAAATAGAATTCTGCTACATTGAAAAGAAAGTACTGTGCAACCTTACAATTAATGATCATACATAAAATTTAAATTTTCAAGATAAAATTTACATAACTTATGTCATAATAAACTTACTATCGCTGCTTCCATTTTGTCTTGCAACAAAAACTAGTGGTAATACAACTCCGTGATACTGATAAAAAACATCTGAAGAATATTTTGACATAGCATTTAATGCTAAAGCACATGACAAATGTATTGAAGTATCTAAAAGTAAATAAAATAATTTAAAAAAACGTAAATCTAAAAAATTTCAAACATTCTTTTGATGTATGTTTACATCAAAAGAATGTTCTGTAACTTATTTGTTTTATTTTATACATTTTAATCTAAAAGTATTTCAAATCAAAAAATACCTTCTTTCTCAAAGTACCACTTTCTTAATTTTTCTAACAGTTTTGACATAGTTGCTTCTTTTGCATACTGAAGAAACACAAACACATATACACACACACACACACACACACATATAAATATATATATATATATATATATATATATATATATATATATATATATATATATATATATATATATATATATATATATACACATATATGTCTACACAGTATACATATATGTATACATGTATATATATACATATATATATATATATGTATATATATACATATATGTATACGCAGTAGAAACATAATTAAAACTATTTAGTATATTTAAATATTAAAACAACTAATTTTTAAATGTTTAAATTATTAAAGAAAAACAAATAAAAAAGAAAAGCAAAAAAAGTTTTTAATGTAATTAATGTCTACTATATAATGTTATAGCCTGCCCAAGCTCAAGGCCTCAGTTGATGTATGTATATTTAAATATCAAACCACTCTCATCTCAAACATCTACCTGTCTGTCTTATGAACGTACATCAGCTAAACTAAATCTGGCAAATACTATCTACAATGTTGTTGCTATTTATTGATCAAATCCAATCATTCCAACAAACATTTTCTTTTTCGAATTATCTGGAACTTCAAATATTATATGGAGAAATACTTCTGTGTGGTGACTTTAACTGCCCAGGTACTACTCCAATAACCTGCAATTCAAGACTTAATGAGATTTTAGAGACCTACAACATGATACAACAAGTTCAATCTCCAACTTGCATATCATCTTGCATAACTTGCATAACTTGCTTCGCCTTGTAATAAATCGACATGATAATATTTGACTCAAGAGTATCCAAGTTACTGACGAGGGTTTTTCAGATCACTATATGATTCGGGTAGAACTTTATCATCAACCTTTAAATACTAAACTGTTTGGTTTTCCAAATGAAACTTTAGAAAACTAAACTTGTCATGCTTTATAAAAGAATTGCAAGTGATGCCATGTTGCTTATCACCTGAAAACAACGTGGATGATTATGCTGAACAAACTGTTCTTGATCATTTAGCACCCATTCGAAAATATTCAATGCGAATTGGTAAACATGATGATAAATGGTTATCTTCAGATGCCAAGAATAAAAAAATCAGATGTCGTAAACTGGAGCGTTTTTATAGAAAAACTGGTAGTTTATCAGATATTTAACCTAACAAATCTACATCATCTGTCAACTTCAATCCTCTACAATCTTGTTTTAGATCTTATCACTCAACCGAAACAGCACTCTTAAAGATATGCAATGACATCCTGCTAAACATTGATGATGGTTTGACCACTATTCTCCTATCTCTGGACACATCTTCAGCATTTGATACAATTAATCACAGCCTGCTGATTACCCGTATTAAGAATGAATTTGGTTTCACAGATATTGCATTAAAATGGCTAACATCATACTTGCACTCTCAAAAATCTTTTGTTTCTATTGGATCATCAAATTCTAGAATAATAGCAAGTTCAACAGGAGTACCACAGGGTAGTATATTAGACCCATTTCTATTTTCCATGTTTGTTTCACCTGTATATCATATTATAGCTAAATATGGTACAAATCATCATCAATATGCTGATGATACCTAACTTTATACTTTCCTCAGCCCTGGCAAAGATAGCATCAACAAAATCACTGTCTGCTAATGCAGTAACAACATGGTTTCTAGAAAATGGACTTCTGCTTAATCCAAACAAAACAGAAGCTATTTTATTTGGATCTAGAAAACAAACTAGCAAATATAAAAATGATTCCAATATTGCATTTTCTGGAACCACAATAACTACAATAAATTCAGTAAAAATTATTTGAGTCACCCTAAATTCAAAGCTCTCTATGGACAAGCACATAAACAATATTATTAAATCCTGCAATTACCACATTTATGCACTTCGCCACATTTGTCCATGTCTGACCAAAGAAGCTGCAAACATAATTGGTTGTGGCATCATTAACTCTCAGCTTGACTATTGTAACAGCATTTTATCTGGCACTTATCAAAAAAATCTTAAAAAACTCCAACGAATTCAAAATAACTTATCTCGTATTATTTTCCATTCTCCTTTCCATTTAAAATTAGAAATATTGCTGAAATCTCTTCATTGGTTACCAATACATCAAAGAATAATCTATAAAATATCAGTTATAGCATATAAAATTTTATTATCAAAATCTCCTGCATATTTATTTGAACTCCTAGAAGTCCGAACTTCAAAACAAAATACAAGATCATTAGACAGTTGCCAACTTACACGTCGTCAACAAAAAACCTCCCTGGGCTCAAAATCTTTTTGTATGACTGCACCTCGAATTTGGAATGGTTTATCTTTGAACACACGAAACTCAACTTCTATAGAAACATTCAAAAAAAGACTAAAATATGAACTTTTTATGAACTCTTTTTCAGACTCATAGTTTACTTGTTTAGTGCTTCTGAATTACTTCATCACTATTGTGATTGTTGTAAATAATGGCACTTTAATCTCTAATTATTATTACTGAAGTTCTCAAAGATGGCTGCTTTAAAGTCTTTTAAGATGTTTTAAAATGACAACATCAACGAAATGCACAACTCTGCAGCAATCAGACATTATATAAACTAGATGCCTAACTTGCGGTATTTTGTTGGACAAAAACGAAGCAGCATTTTTTGTTCATAAATATAATTAGCCAATTGTAAAAAGGAAAAAAGCTGAAGATGAGTGAAATAAAAGTGCAAGTTTATATCAAAAGTTCTCAATAAGTTAAAGATTGTTGAAAAGTTGAAAAACACGTTTTAATAATTATAAAATACTTACAAAATTTTTTTTATAAGCCTAAGTTAATTAAAAAGTATTATAACTCATAAAAATGCTTTAAAAGTGTCTGTTGCTTGTCATCTGTTGTTTCACTTTTCAAAACTTTTATCTCTTTCTAATCAGAAATGAATTTAGGAAACATAAATTATTATTTTATAAAGTTTCTACTTTCCTCTTAACACTTTTACATAAACAGTATTTACATTCAAAATATATTTACTTCATTTAAGAAAAGAAAAGTTAAATAATATTTGTTTACAAATTTAATCCACCATTTGTAAAAAGAGCAAAAGCGGCTTCACTTTTCGGATCGAAATTAGACATTTAGTTTACATAATACATAATTGCTCTACAGTTATTAACATATCATTATCATTGTTTCTGCATCTACACAATCATTTTTCATAATATCCTATCTACAATAATCACATTTTAAGCTTTACTTAATAAAGCTATTTCATGTCTTCTGTAATGTACTCTTTCCAGGTTTTCTTACTTCTACCAATAACATTATCTTGCAAAAACTGTCAACTACATGATTGAGTATAATTAGTAAAATTAATATCCAAATATTTCCACTAATCATTTATCAACCTAATTATATACATCTTAACACTTCACATACCCAAATCTTCGAATACCCTGATAAACTTTATGAGATAAACTCTCTGTTCCTAATTTCTAAAACCATTGCCTTTGTTCTATTTTTTGAGTCAGATCACACATTTATCTAACAATCATCTCCTTCATTCCAGATGCTGGATATTTTTAATTTTGATTGCTTATATTTTGCTGTCATAATATTCTAATCATAATATTCTAGATGCATGTAATATATAATTTTCTTTTAACCTTTAGTAATGCACCCCTCAACCACTTTGCCACTAACAGTAATTAAAGGTTCAGTTCTACAACACTAACTCTTTTTAGAGACTGCACACAGTCACTTTTTTCAGAAACTGCACACAGCCACTTTTTAGTTCTACTGGATCATTCTTGATTTTACAGTGTTTCATTCATGTTAAGATATTAGGATTTTTGTCTTAATGTTGTTTACCCAGAGCCCTGTTGCTTACATTACATCTTTTCAACACTAAACAATTATTTCTTGTTTTGTCTTTGCAATCAAGCATAAACATATGCATACAATAGCTTCCATGGTAAATCAACACTAAATTTTTTCAAGAAAGATTCTAAGATAAAAATTAAAAGCTAAGGACCAAGCACTGAATATACACCAACTTTTTGCTTAAAATGATGTAACATATATATATAAATGAATAATTATTGATGACCTTTATGGTAAAACTTAGTAACCTTTGATTTATCACCTTTTTAATCTTTTTTAAAATTGCTATGGTGAAACTTAGCTATCTTTGTAATCTATAATGTTTAAAGTAATAAAAATATTTCAAGTAGTTAAAATACTTAATGTTAATAAGGAAAACAAATGCCACCTATCTTCTTTCTTTTTTATATATTTTTACTTGAACATATCTTAGGTAAACAAATAAGGTAAACAAATGCCACCTATCTTTTTTTTCTATATATTTTTACTTGAACATATCTTAGTTAAATAAATAAGGTAAACAAATGCCACCTATCTTCTTTTTTAAATATTTTTACTTGAACATATCTTAGGTAAACAAATAAGGTAAACAAATGCCATCTATCTTCTTTCTTTTCTATATATTTTTACTTGAACATATCTTAGATAAACAAATAAGGTAAATAAATGCCAACTATCTTCTTTTCTATATATTTTTACTTGAACACATCTTATGATACACTGCATGATACACTGCATGTTGTTCTTTTTACTGGTTTAAAACCCTACTAGATATTATTGCTTCACTGAGCATCTTATTTTATGAGCTTTGTATTATCAATAAATATATGGTAGAGTGTAGTATTCGATAGAAATAAATTTTTGAAGATGCAGAATTCATAAATAATAATTTTTGAAGAACTCACAAATGATGGGCAAAATATCTGAAAATCAAAATATCTGATTTCTGAAATATGTGAAAATTAAAAAAGAATTAATGTAATTTTCATGTCTTAATATTAGGACATATTGGTAATTATTTATTTGATGTCTTTGAATGTTAATTCATTTGCTATTTTTATTAATTAGCATTCTTGTTTTTATATTTATTATAATAATACAACTATAAAATAAAAATAATAAGATAAAAAAATTATATGTAAATATATATATTTTTTTTTTGTTTATTTTTCATTTTTTTAACATCTTCACTTCCAACAAAGCTGCAAGAAACCACTATTAGAGAGTTAAAAGTTACTGGAAAAGAGTTGATGAAATTTATAGAGCAAAATAATGATTACTTGACAACTTAAAAGATTGCAAATTATATGAATCAGGAAAGTAAGATGAAGGAAGCGAATTCCAAAGTACTGATGTTCAAGGAAAAAACTAGGTGAATAAGAATTTTTGGAACACTTAGGAACAGTCACAGTAAAAGTAAGAGATTTAATTGAATGACAAGTAACACATGATTGAATTTTAGTAGATCCCACAAAAAAGGCTAGCTCTTTAAAGCAGTGCTCATTATAATATTTATGGAAAAGAAAAAGAGAAGCAGTATTATGACGATGTAATAATGGTTGGAAATTGGCTGCAAGAGCAAATCCATTATCATTCATAAATATAAATTATTATAAAAATATCATTCTTTAAATTTGTAAACAAATATTATTTATGACAAATATTAATTTATGCTTTAGAAATGTTAAGAGCAATAATCTTAGCCTCTCCAAATTTTATATTAAATGCATGATAAAACCTATCATTTATTACCTCTCCATATTTATATTAAATGCATGATAAAACCTATCATTTATTACCTCTCCATATTTATATTAAATGCATGATAAAACCTATCATTTATTACCTCTCCAAATTTATATTATATTGCATGATAAAACCTATCATTTATTACCTCTCCAAATTTATATTAAATGCATGATAAAACCTATCATTTATTACCTCTCCATATTTATATTAAATGCATGATAAAACCTATCATTTATTACCTCTCCAAATTTATATTAAATGCATGATAAAACCTATCATTTATTACCTCTCCATATTTATATTAAATGCATGATAAAACCTATCATTTATTACCTCTCCATATTTATATTAAATGCATGATAAAACCTATCATTTATTACCTCTCCATATTTATATTAAATGCATGATAAAACCTATCATTTATTACCTCTCCAAATTTATATTATATTGCATGATAAAACCTATCAGTTATTACCTCTCCATATTTATATTAAATGCATGATAAAACCTATCATTTATTACCTCTCCAAATTTATATTATATTGCATGATATTACCTATCATTTATTACCTCTCCATATTTATATTAAATGCATGATAAAACCTATCAGTTATTACCTCTCCATATTTATATTAAATGCATGATAAAACCTATCATTTATTACCTCTCCAAATTTATATTATATTGCATGATATTACCTATCATTTATTACCTCTCCATATTTATATTAAATGCATGATAAAACCTATCAGTTATTACCTCTCCATATTTATATTAAATGCATGATAAAACCTATCAGTTATTACCTCTCCATATTTATATTAAATGCATGATAAAACCTATCATTTATTACCTCTCCAAATTTATATTATATTGCATGATAAAACCTATCAGTTATTACCTCTCCATATTTATATTAAATGCATGATAAAACCTATCATTTATTACCTCTCCTAATTTATATTATATTGCATGATATTACCTATCATTTATTACCTCTCCATATTTATATTAAATGCATGATAAAACCTATCAGTTATTACCGTTATCAAATTAGCAGTAGAATGAGAAGATCAAAATCCATACTGATGATCAGAAAGTAAGTTATTAGATTCCATAGACAAACCAAGGTATTGGCGAGAGTCTCACCTTTGCTTTATGAGAAAATGTGAGCAAACTTACATCGTACATACATAAACTTCATGTTATGTAATGTTTAAACATAGTTAAACATATATCAAGTTTTAAAGTTTGACTTTCACTTAAAAACATTAACCTTTTCTTAATTTCTGATTTTTAGCAATTACTTCCGTTAAAAACAAATTTTATATAGTTTTAAAATTTCAACAATAAATGTGCCAAAATTTCAACAATGAATGGACGAGTGGTTAATGCGCTGAACTTCTAAACAAGAAGGCGGTGGTTCGAATCCAACCACTGGCAACTTTTTATTTTAATTTAAAAACTTTTTAAAATACTTGTAAAGTTTTATAAAGATTATATACAAACATATCTAACAATCTTATACACTTTAACAAACGAAAAGAATTTTAAAAAAACTAAAAATTCTAAAAACATTAAAAAACAGTAGGATATTTGTTACGTATGTGTCATGGTAAAGATACTTATGTTATTTTAGTTTTACATTTCAAGTTTTTTTTACAACCAAGTTGAGTTTGTGCAAGAAAAATGAGTATACAACATGTTTATATAGAATATAAAGTCTATAGAACTGTAAAGTTGTTATGTTTTGCATTTTAAATAACCAAAATTAAAAAATAAAGCAAGCTGATGATTTGAACTTGCCACACGGCTACCTTAACTTTTTAAAAACAGTACGGAGGTATAAAAAGTATGTTTTTTATAAAAACATAATTAAATTAATTTTATATTTAAACTAAACCATTTTATTAAACTATTTACTTTTAAAAATAATTAAAAGTTAAAGTTATTTAATATTAATAAAATAAGGAAGTTTTAGAGTTATACTCCATTATTTTTGGGCTTTATATACTTTTTGGCTGATCCTTTATCTAAACTTTAATATAAGAGATCCTCCATAAATTACGCAATGCTAAATTTCACAATTGAAGAGAACAAAAATGATCAAAGTTTTTCCTTGCAGAGTCATATAAATAAAAAATCTATATAGCTCATTAAGTTTAATGAAAATTGCCATCCTAAAGAACTGAAAATCTCTTCTACATTTTTAAAAATAAATTTTGCGTTGTAAAATTTGTGGGCGATTCCTTAGCATTTTATAGTCTATAGTATATAATGCTCTAAGATCTTCTTAGTTCTGCTATACTGTTATAAAAAAATATTGCTGTTTTTATTGTTGCAAGTTTTACAGTTTAACTTTCACTTAAAAACTGCATTGCGTCAACCTCTTCATAATTTCTGATTTTCAGCATCTATATCTGTTAAAAACAATTTTTATATAGTTTTAAAATTAAGACCAAAGTGCCTGCATGAGTGGTTAGCGTGCTGAGCTTCTGAACAAGAACGCTGTGATTGTTAGAGTTAAGGAACAAATATGATTATAAAAAGTTTTTTCATACCCTGAATTTTTTTAGACATACTAAAGTTAAATTTTTGAATAGGTTCTAAAAATATATCTGAAACTACAAAAATCCTGCCTACACTACTGGTATTATTGTTTGCCATCGTGTAATGTTGTTGCGATGTTTTGCGTTGATAGACAAGCTTGGCTCACCTTCACGCTGGTGTCTATCGTTAAAAACGATTATCGGGTAGCTTCATTACTCAAACTTACTCCTAATCATTCACTAATAGCCAAGAAATATTTTTAGAATAAATGCCAAATTTTTTTATGTCAGTGTGGATTTTTATCTTTAGCATTGCTGATAAAACTGAATTTTTTAAAAAAAGAATATTTCCAGTCTTCCAATCAAATATTAGAGACTTACAAAAGGACTCTCACAAAGTGTCTCTTTTATTGTTTAATATTACTAAATTTCATTTTGTATTTTTCATTTTTCAAATGAATCAACATAATCTTCTCTATATATTATTGCCAAACTTAATAGTTTTATTAGTAGTAGTGTGCCTTGGAGTGTGTTTGACACCAAACCCTTGGCAGCCATTGCAACCAAGGTATTGGCAAGAAAGAGTCTCACCTTTGCTTTATAAGAAAACGTGAGCAAACGTGAAACTTACATCGTACATACGTATTCTTCATGTTATGTAATGTTTAAAAATAGTTAAACATATATCAAGTTTTACAGTTTGACTTTTACTTAAAAACTGCATTGCGTCAACTTCTTCTTAATTTCTGATCTTCAGCATTTATATCCATTAAAAATATTTTTTATATAATTTTAAAATTTCGATGCCCAACATGTTTATATATAGAATATAAAATCTATAAAACTGTAAAGTTGTTTTGTTTTACATTTTAAATAACCAAAATTAACTGAAGATCTCTTTTTTTTTTTTTTAAATAAATACTTACTGTATTTATCCTTAATCCTCCAAAACGACACTGATGACAGCACACTAAACCACTGAGCTATCAATGATATGCAGTTAAGAGAAAAATAAATGCTGAAAGGGTGCGCAATTTAACTTTTTTGCTCTTAAAGCAATTTTTTAATTTTTTTATTATTAGTTATTTTATGTAAAAATATTATAGTAAACAAATAATAGGTATAGAAATCATTAGTGTGGAATAAATAAGTATAGAAACAGTAGATTTGGTAAAGACCCACATTTTATGGGTCCTGAAAGCTAGGATATATATACAAAGAAAAAAGCATAAAAATGGTTAGTGTTGAATAGCTTACAACGACCCGTATTTTTACGGGTCAGATCAGCTAGTATAACTATAATACAATTATATATATAGATATAGCAATATAGTATTGAAAAAATTATTCCAAAAGTACTAAATATTTTATAAGATGTTTATTTTTTAAAAAAATTCATTCCTCTATATTCCAAAAAATGTCACCTGAACAAGATGGCCGATGGAGTTAGCATAAGCCTTTTTTAAAGCCATATTGTAATCTGTCAACCCATTTAACAGAGATCCAAGAAGTTTTCCTAAGTAAGATCAAACTATATGATTGTACTATAACTATATTGATTTAAACAAACTTCCAAAATATTATAAAATTTTAATAAATACCAGCATAAGGAGATAGTAAAACATTGCATTGAACAATTAACAAATTAATTAAGGTTGTACAGCCAACCTAAAAATAACCTATAGATTCTAAAACAGAATTTTTATAAAGCAAACTCTTGTTGTAAAGCATACAGTAATACCACACAAAAAAATTGCCTAAAAAAATAAATCTTGCCTTAGTTCCTAAACCCAACCCTGTCTTTAATAGATCACAAAGTTTGGGTATTAATTCAATCAAAACCACTTCATCTACATATTGTGAGCACTACATTTAACATTTTAAAAACAAATTCATATACATATATTATATAAACATATTTTCAAAAAACATATAAAATTTTATAACTTACAAAATTAACAGCTTCCATCATGGGAGATGTTTTGCATGCAGAAAGACGCATAATATCAAGCTAATGTTAAAAGCATCAAGGTATTATTCTAACAACAATGTTAAAATTTATTGCTAAAATTAATTTAAAATTCAAAAAATTAAATACTACAACAGTCTGATTATGTTTAATAAATACAAATTCACTACAAACTTGGCTATAAGTAGTCGATTGGAGTGAATTTATACTTTAAAAAAACATAACCTCCAAGTAAGGAGTTTGGTCAATTCTGCCTTGTTAATGACTTGCAGACTCCTATTTCTGTTTTTGACATACTTTAACACTTCCCCTCCTCATCAAGTGTAAAAATACTACAATTGCAACATTCATCAACAAGAAAAAACCGAAAATATCAAATTCAGTTAACCAGCATTTATTAAGAAGGTGATTACTTAACATTTTTTTACTTTACAGTCTAATCGTTGATTAACTGATTCTCTATCTTTGACTAGTGGATACAACCTTTAAATTGGTGCACTACCTCCCCATTGTTGTCTCTGGCTTGCTTTTTGCATACACAGGTTTTTGAGTTAAAAGTTTGGCTTCATTTTCCCTCTCAACAATTCCAAGTCAAACCTCATTCTTCTCCATGGTTTCCTACCTGATATAGCAGACAAACAGGTTGATCTATTGCTTGACATTCATATCACTCCAGCTTCTGTATTTAAAGTGATTTCCTGCTTAGACTACAGCATGTGGTCCGGACAACATTCCTGTTATAGTCTTGCAGAAGTGTTGGTTTTTGAGACTTTAATTAACATTAATCTCTAATCTTATAATAATCTAAATCTTCCTATATTTATAAATGGTAATGTACTCAATGAGTGATCTTTCATCTTCTAATTTTTACTATTACTTCCGATCTTTCTTGGAAACCATATATCAAATCCGTTGCAAAATTAGCATCTGCTAAAGTTGCATCTCTTTATCGAGCTTGACACTTTCTTACTCTGGATTCTATTCTTTATCCCTATAGATCTCATCCATGTATGTTGGAATATCTGTAGCGGCTCTTCAAATGATGCAGTTTCACTTTTAGACAAAGTGTAAAAACCCATTGTAAACATAGTTAGTCCTGCTCTTGCAGCCAATCTTCAACCATTGTCATATCCTCGTTGTTTGATGTTGCTTCTCTTTCTCTTTTCTATAAATACTATAATGGGTGCTGCTCTAAAGGGCTAGCATCTCTTTTGCTATACACTAAAATTCATTCATGTGTTACTCAATTAAGTCTCTTACTTTTACTGTGATTGTTCCTAAGTGCTCCAAAAATTCATATTTGTCTAGTTTTTTTCCTTGAACTTCAGTTCTTTAGAATTCGCTATCTTCTTGTTTTCCTGATTCATATAATTTGCAATCTTTTATATCTTCTGTTAATTGTTATTTTGTTTTATAAAACTCATCTTTTCCCTTCCAGTAACTTATAATTCTAATAGTGGTTGCTTGCAGCCTTGTTGGAAGTGAGGATATTTTTTTTTTTTTTTTTTAATTATCTTCGCTTCCAACAAGGTTGCAAGCAACCACTAATTAGTGTTGGAAGTTACTGGAAGAGAAAAGATGAAGATAATAGAGCAAGATAACGATTGACAGACGACTTAAAATATTGCAAATTATATAAATCAGGAAAGCAAGATGAAGGAAGCGAATTCCAAAGTACTGATGTTCGAGGGAAAAAACTAGACGAATAAGAGTTTTTGGAGCACTTAGGAACAGTAACAGAAAAAGGATGAGACTTAATTGAATGATGAGTAACACGAGAATGAATTTTAGTAGATGGCACAAGAGACGCTAGCTCTTTAGAGCAGTGCCCATTATAGTATTTGTAGAAAAGAGAAAGAGAAGCAACATTACGACGATGTGACAGAGGTTGAAGGTTGGCTGCAAGAGCAGGTCCAACTATGTTTACAATACGGTTTTGCACCTTGTCTAAAAGAGAAAGGGCATCATTAGAAGATCCGCCCCAGATATGGCTACAGTATTCCATACAAGGCCGGATTTGAGATTTATAGAGATAGAGAATAGAATCCAGAGTAAGAAAGTGACGAGCTCGATAAAGAGAAGCAACTTTAGCAAATGCTAATTTTGCAACGGATTTGATATAAGGTTTCCAAGAAAGATCAGAAGTAAGAGTTAATCCTAGAAGATGAAGGGTAGGAGACTCATCGAGTACATTACCGTTCATAAATATAGGAAGGTCTAAATTATTGCAATAACGATTGGCCAAAAAAAATTGAGTTTTATCTGAATTAAAGTTCACCAGCCACTGCGAGCCCCATGCTGTAGCAGAAGTGAGATCCTTTTCGAGCTCAGATGCCCCCCGCAAGCAATCAGAGGGAGTTGGCTTCTTATCGTGACAAGAATAAATGGTAGCGAACAATGCCACCTTAGATGTGAGAATATCTGGAAGATCGTTAATGTAAATTAAAAAGAGTATAGGGCCTAGGATTGAACCTTGGGGAACCCCTGAGGTTACAGAATAAGAAGAAGAGTGCTGTCCATCAAGGACAACTTTTATACTACGATTGGAAAGGAAGGATTCAGTAATCTTAAAGATGTTTCCAGATACACCATAAGAAGAAAGCTTATGGAGGAGACCAGCATGCCAAACTTTATCAAACGCTTTAGAAATGTCAAGAGCAATGGCCTTAACCTCTCCACCTTTATCTAATGCGCGATAAAACCTATCGGTTATTACTGATAGCAAATCAGCCATAGAACGAGAAGATTGAAATCCATACTGATGATCAGAAAGTAGGTTATGAGATTCGAGATGAGAGATTAAGTGTTTGTTAATTAAAGATTCAAAAACCTTGCTTATGATAGGAAGAAGACTAATGGGACGGTAGTTAGATGAGTCAGATCGCTCTCCAGAATTTTTAAAAATAGGGATAACAGATGCTGCTTTCCAGCAGGCTGGAAAACAAGACTCTGATAAGCACTTGTTAAATAGTTTTGAAAGGATAGACGACAGCTCCGGAGAACACTTCTGTAAGACTATAACAGATATGTTGTCCGGGCCGCAAGCTGTAGAAGAGTCTAAGCAGGATATCACTTTAGATACAGAAGCTGGAGTGATACGAATGTCGAGCAATGGATCAACCTGTTTGACGGCTATATCAGGTAAAACACAACTAGTGGAATCAAGAGATGATATTGATGAAAAGTTCTTGGCAAACAATTCAGCTTTGTCTTTAGGTGAAGTGACAAAGTCTGAACTGTACAAAAGAGGTGGAATTACAGACTTGCCCTTATTATTGATACTATTAAAGATTCTCCAGAAGTCACGAGAGCCTAATTTTTGTAATGAAATTCGAGATTTCATGATCTGAGAATAGCGGGTTTTGGCGTTAGACAAAACCTTTTTACAATGGTTCCTAGCAGTAATAAAGAGACGTCTGTTTTCTGGAGAATTGTTTTGCTGATAGATATGAAAGTAATGGTTTCGATTGGCAATTGCAGAAGCACAATGTGAGGAAAACACATGGAGAAGAGTGAGGCTTGACCTGGAATCGTCGAGAGGGAATAAAGGATTCCATGCCAGCCTGAATCCACGAAGTTATGTAAGAAGCACATTTGTCAACAGGGAGACGAAAGATTTCTACCCAGGGGCCATCACGAAGAAAGTCACGAAAAGAGTGCCAGTCAGCTTTAAGGTAGTTGTAAGATGTACGATGATAGGGGGATTCTAATGGTAAAGAAGAATGAGATAATAGTTTTAGAGAGACCAAACCATGATCAGACGCACCTAAGGGTGAGTGTGAAGAAACTGAACACTGGCTAGGATCAGAAACAAGACATAAGTCGAGTAGAGAAGGTAAATGATTCGGGTTGTCTGGAAAGCAATTGGAAAGTTGACTATTTGAGTTAGGAATTGAGAAAGACAAAAGTTGTGGGCCTTAATGCCTGCAGAGTCACTGACACTAGAGCCAAGCTATTCAGTGTGATGAACATTAAAGTCACCGACAACAACAATATTGGCTGATGGGTAAAGAATGAGGGCTTGGTCAATATAATCAGAAATAACATCAAGAAGAGTGCAGTCTTGGGATGAGGGAGAGCGATATAGAACAAAGAGAAAGGTGATAGAGTGAAGTGGTGCTAAACGAAAGCACATAAAAGAGTAGTCTGTGGATTCAAACCTAGTTTCCCGACAAATGGATGAATTCTTATGAATGTAAATGCCCAGGCCAAGCATGTGACTATTGGAGTCTTTACGAATTAAAGGAAGATAACCATCAACACTAAGATCACAAGATGAGACAGCTGAACTCAAATTAGTCTCACAAAGAGCAAGCAGGTTTGGTGAACTTTGCAAGAGATAAGACTCAACAGAAGAAAAGTTACTTCAAAGACCACGAATATTGGTGAATGATAGGTTTAGCGAACTTGGTGATGACTGTGGTTTTTTGTGTTTTATAGTTTTTGTTACTTTATTCATTTTTAAATTTGTTAAAGAACTTGACTCGAAACATTGCTAGTACTCAGTACACTGTTCTATAGCTCAAGCAATTGCCTCATTTCCACTAACAAACCCTAAGCCGTAACAAAGGGCTCCAATGTGGCCTTGGCAATGCACACCAAAAGTACAAACAGGGACACCATCAATGCGCAACATGGCACTGTTAGTACTCTGATATTTTTCAGCTGTTGATGGAATCAGCCTCTCTAAGAGCTACCACAGATTTCGGGAAACCTGACTACCAGCCGGCCTCTGAACCATAAAACTGAGTTTTAGAGCTGTACCCTCATCTGGAGATAATGGAATGAGTTGCCTAGTCATAAAAACAGAGACATAAGCAAAACCTATGAAACGAGTCAAGAAGATCCAGCGTTCAACATCCTAAACTGGAAACAATGTATTAAAAATACATCTGCGCCAGCCTAATAGACAACGAAGGGGTGCGAGGCTGGTCAACAGATAGAATCTGTTTACCCCTTAAGGATATTTTTAACCCCTTAAGGATATTTACCCTTAAGGATATAGGATATCCTTACGGATATCCCCTTAAGGATATTTACCCTGAAGGATATAGGATACCCTTAAGGATATAAGGATAAGGACCCTTAAGGATATGTTTACCCCTTAAGTATATTTTTAACCCCTTAAGGATATTAAAAAAAGTCTATGTTGATTTTATTAAAAGCAGATCAAATTATAATAAATCACGTCAATATCAACTCCATAGGTCTATTGGCTGCAAAGAAACCAATTATTATAATGCAGGTTTTGGGTTATACATACCAAAAAAAGTTCTGTTGAAAATAATAACAAAACTATTTCTAAAAAAGTAGTCAATTTAACTGGGAAGAACTAATTTTAAACAACTCATATATTTACACCATGACAAATATATTCTGGTACAACCCTGTGTTAACAATTTCCTGTTATTTTATCAATTTGTTATTCATTAAAAAAATATTTAAAAGTACTGGTAGGTTATCTAATTGTAAAATGCAAATCGATTTTGCATCCTAGACAACAAAAAACATGTTCCAAGATTCAAAAACGCAGTCTCTATAATGGTTTGGGGCGCAATCTGTCTAAAAGGTAAATTGCCCTTGATTTTCATCAAAAAAAATTATTTTTGATTATTACCACTTGATTATTTTGTATGGTCTTACATGTTAGCTTATCTTAATGATTATAAGTTTTCAAATTTGGAGCAATTTAAGAAAATTATTAGCAAAATATGGGACAAAATGCTGTTGGAAACTGTACGTGCTGCGTGCAATAATTTTGAAAGAAGATTAAAGCTGGCCATCAAGATTAAAGGGGATGTTATTCCAAACATTTATTATAATTAATTTAGTATTATGTCAACTTTTAAATTCTAAATAAAGTTTTTTAAAATATTATTTTAAGAAAAAAATATAAATATTTTTGTTTGTACCAAAATATGTAAGTTTAAAACAGTTTTCCACAAAATTTGTAAGTGTAAAACAGTTACATTTTCCACAAAATATGTAAGTGTAAAACAGTTTTCCACAAAAGCAATTGATAAAAGATTTTTTGTGCTTTTATAAAAGGAATTCAATTGAATTTGTTTCAATCAATTTAATGTTTGTTTTTTAGCCAAATTAAAAAACTTTAAAAAGTTCACAAATTACTTTATTTTTAGAATGCTTTTTTTTTTTAAAAAAAAAAAAACAAAAACTATTTATATAAAATTTAACCACAAAATAAGAATTACCTTTTCTTGAGCTTCTTGATTTTGACTAAGTTGCAAATTTAATGTATTCAGATACTGAAGAAAAAAAAGAACTTTTTCTACCTATCAATTTTCTTTTTAGAACTTTTTACTGGAACATACAAAGTAATAAAAATTATAAAAAAAAATTGTCAAACATATTATCTACAAGTTAAAAAAAAATCTACATATGGTAAATATTCAACTAAATTGTTTAGATGTTCTTATTACCTAAAACACTTTTTACGAGCTTCTTAGAACCCAAAAATGACACAATCTTTCCAAGATTATCATTTAAATATTTGAATACTTAGTGGGTAAAATACTTAAGTTTTTAAATATTAACTTGAATGGTAAAATACCATTCAAGTTTGTTTTATTAACTTCAAGAAAAGATATGCAACATTTTTGCTGAAAATGTTTTAAATAATATCCATAGTTTAAAGACATCCCCAAGTGCAGAGACAAGTTTTGTTCCTATCTTAAACTTTAGAAAATTAATTTATAGTTAATTTTACCAAAATAAAATATTATACACACAAAATATAAAAGAAAAATTAATATAAAATCAATAAAAGAAACATATTATATGGATTGGTGTGAAACTAAAAAAAATATTTAAATGAATAATTTAATAAAAAAGGGTATAAAAATTGATATAAAATAAAACAGTATAAAACTGTTTTACATTTGACGTTTTTCTGCAATATTGAAATGTTCAATGTTGAAATGTTCAATACTGAAAAGTTCAATCTTGAAATGTTCAATGTTAAAATGTTATAACTAGTTGAAGCTAATTATAATGAAAATTATTTTTTAAATTTAGCAATGACAAGAGAAAAATACTAATTAACATCCATTCCAATCATCATAAGTTAATTTGAATAGATATTTTACAATTTTTTGGTAGTAGTTTTAAAAATGTTATAGAGTCTATATATTAACACCCTCTCCAAACAAAAAAAGCAGTCAGAACTATTTAATGAATAACTACTACAACTAATATATATATATATATATATATATATATATATATATATATATATATATATATATATATATATATATATGTATATATATATATATATATATATATATATATATATATATATATATATATATATATATATATATATATATATATATAATAAATATATATATATATTAATAATTAATATGTTTGTAATATATATTAAACATATATATTACAAACATATAATAAAATATATATATAAAAAAAATTCAGTATACTTATGAAATTATATACAAATTACCTCAAGCTTAATAATCAATACAAATAAAATTTTACCTCAGGCTCCAAAGCACTAAGAGACTCTAATAACGATATTATAAATTTTGATACATGAGGTCTTAACAAAGCACCCTGAAATTATTTATTTTTTAAAGTAGCAGATAAAATAATATTAAATAATAACATCAATAGCAAATAGGTTATATGATACAATTAATATTGAAATTTTCCTAAATATTTTGTTGGATAAGCTAAACAGCATTGAATAAATATTGAATAAATATTAAATTGAATACTTACAGCATTTTTAGTGATTTGAACAAGTGTATCCATACTGAAAATAAATTTTCAAAGTGACTTATATATTTTAATAACTCTTACAAATTTTTATTCAAATATTTTTAACTTTAAGTTTTAATGTATAAATGTTATTGTATATATTTTTGTTTATTTTATAACTATTTTTTTTAATAATTTATTAAACTGATTTATAATTTATTGTTTTTTGAAATAAAACTTCCACAATAATTTATTAATTGACCACTTATGCAAAAATGAATTTAAGTGAAAATTTACTACCACAGTATTACCTAGCCCATTATTACTTAATGTAATAATATATGTAAGAGCAAACTTTAATGTAATTAATTAATTTAATAATGTAAACAGTATTACCACAGCAATACTATTAAATACTAAACATTCCCAGGATAATTATGGCGAATACCACAGTAATACCACAATTCCTGTTACCGTGGCATTCCAAAGCAGATGCAAAACTTTATTGAAATAATATCGGTGACTTTGACTTGATGTCAACTGCATCCTTTTTTGAAGTGATCTACAAAATTTATAAATTGTCCTGGTGACATCAAAGTTAACATCATTCGCTTGATGTTAAATTTGATGTCACCAGGGCAGACTCTAAATTGTCTAGACATCTAACTTTCTAGACATATATGTATAGTGAGCCTGGTCATAACTTTCTTTTTTTCTCTCCTCCTCTTTCATATGCTGCTTTGTCTTTTTGTGCTCTTGATTCTTTATGCTTTTCCTGTTTTGCCAAATCTGTATCTACACCATTCATGAAATATTTTCTTTTAAGTGGTTTGTAAGAAAGAAAAAAATAACTCATTGTTCTCACTTTGTTGAGCTAATCTCTTATAGGGTAAAGCAGTAAAGCGGGACATTGGGGTATAACGGGACAGTTATGCCTGAAGTCTTACATCTCAGCTAAAAATTATTGAAATTTTTTTTTTTTTAAAAAAAAACATTTTAAATTATTGTGCTTCATTGTTGTGAAACAAAATTAAATTTTAGAAATAATAAAATACATTAAAAGTACCAAAATGCATCAGTAAGTTAGCAAAAAACAAAATTTGCGTATTTTCTTAAGTGATACAATGACAAAAAATTTATCTTGAACAATTGCTAACTTGCTTTATTTATAAAAAGTTTATATTTTTCAGACAGTATTTTTCATCCTCTTTTATAATCTGGTTTTAAAAAAATATCTGGAAATGAACTTTTTGAACAGAATTATTTTATAAAAAGATGTTTGTGGGGCATATTATTACAATAAGTTATTTATATAATTGTCAATATTATTACCATTTTGTGATAGTGTTTACAGTTTGATGATTTTATTTTTAATCTAAAAGATTATTTTCTTTATTTAGAAAAGCAATTTTAGTAATAAATTCAAAGAAACTGTTATTTTTATAACTTAACTTTGGTTATTATAGTGTAAAATGTAAACAACGATGGTAAAAAACTATATAAAAAAGATCAATTATCCAAAATGGGATGAAACGCAGTTTTAGCTGTAAGTAAAAAAGAACTTAGAACTAGGAAAGCTGCTGATATATATGATGATACATACGATGATACATATAGCATATTTAAGTTTGCTCTACATAAGCATACAGCTAATAAGCCGGCTCATCAAAAATGTTGCCAAATAGTTTCAGGATACTTTTTGTGTGATTTATATGATCCATAATATTTTTTGTTTAATTTTAAATTTAGTAGAAGATACCGATTTAATAATATAAGGTTAGGGTAGAGCGGAGGTATTTTATAATAAAACACAAAATTTTTATTTTATTTTAATTGTTATTTGTTGTTTGGAAGTATGAACATGTAGTTTATATGGGTATTACTTTTTTGAGAGTTTAATGTCTCAACATGTTTAAATAATTTAACTTTAACTTGAATAATTTGACTTAAACTTAAATAGCTTTTTATTTCTTAGCATTTTTAAAGCTATACAATTAATAAATAGCTGCTGCTTTTTAACCATTTTGCCCCACTTACTTGCAAAATATAAAATTTTTGCCAGTCTTTACTTTTTTAAGTTTCGTTACTTTGGTTGTTGTGGTTTATTTTTAAAAATTTTTGTTTTTGCTTTTTTTTGCCTTTACCTGATAAAACTGTTCCAAGTTCCAGCTATCCTAAGGGAATCTTTGGAGGGAACCAGCTTCTAGATGGTTCAATTAGTCTTTCACCCCTATACTCAAGTTTGACAATCGATTTGCACATTAGAATTGGTACAAGCCTCCAGCAGAGTTTCCTCTGGCTTCACCCAAACATAGTTCACCATCTTTTTGGTCCCAACAGATCTATGTGCTAAAAGACAACTAGCATTTGTTTCTTAAGTGTCCCTATATGCTCAGCTCTACCCTAAGTCTTATTTTGATAAACATCATGTATTTATTGATTTGTAAATTTTACAAAAAAAAATATTTTGTTGACAGGTATTCCTGTATTTATCAAGTTGTCAATTTCGTCTAATTTCCAAATGGAGGAAGAAACTTCTGGCTATGTGACAGAAGACCCTACCAACAACCAGACAAATAAAAATAAATAAGTAAAGAAAAGTAAATTAAGTGACAAAAAAAAAAAACTTAAATTTTATATTCAAAATATAGAAAGGTAAAAGAAAAAGTGAAAGTTTAGGAATTAAATAAAAAATAAGAAAAAGAAGTGTTTATAAATATCAATTTGAAAAGAATAATGTTAGACGCAGAGTTTGTAAATTATTCTTTCTAAATTTAGATACTAGTGAAAGAAAAATTTACTACCAAGGCCCCCAAAGTAAGGATCAGAGAACATATAAATAGTTTTCCAACAGTAGATTCACCTATTGAAGACTAACAAAATACTAACAAAATTTTTTTAGAGTTATTATTGAGTACAATTAAAATGTACAGGTTGTTTACACAAGCATACCCAGAGTTCTATATAAAAAAAGATATTTAGAGAGTTAGCTAGACTAGACAAGAAAAAAAATGTGTCCTAGCTAAAGTTGCAAATGGATACAACTATAACAGTTATAAGTCTCTTCCAGTTGCTAATGTACCTATATTCTACTAAAAAATTAAATTACTATATTTTCACACCCCACTCTTCATTAAATAAAAAAATTTATTGTGCATTTTGGAATGAATCTATGGCAGGTAGAATGAACTCGCAAGTTGTCTGTATAACCTATTAAAGTTAATCATTCAAGACTGTCCTAATATATCAATTAATCATATTATTTTGTGGTTTGATTCTTGTGTTTCCAGGAATAAGAATTTAATTATGCCTATGGAAACAGAGATTTTTCAAAATAAAAGTGGAATACCACTCATTGAACAGAATTATAGTGAGCCTGGTCATAATTCAGTACAGAAAATTGATACTTAATGAAAAATTAAGACATTTTGAGATTTACAGTCCTCCTACCTTATTCAAAACTGTCATCTACTGAAAAATCTTCTGGAGTGGAAATCATGCAAATGCACAAATATTACTTCAAAAACTTTAAACTTGCTTCCAAATCTTTATATTTCCAAAAACTGCCTTTTGCAAAAGTCAAACTAATTAGTCATAAAAAACAGCTATCTTTTCATATTTTAACAAACCTCAGGTCCATTAATTGAAGAAAGATTGGTAAAAGTTACCAATCAAAGAAAGAATAAAGAGAAAGTTAAAGTTCTGAAAGAATTCTCTCCATTAAAAAATGATTCAACACATTTTTTGTCTGATAAAAAAAAAAGATTGACCTTGAGTCAATGCTAAAATATTTGGAATTTTATATTACTATTTTAGAGTCACAAAATCTGAAAAATTAAAAATATCACTTTGTAAAATATTTTATTAAACATTGTATATATTTTTTTATTGTAAAAATTGTTAAAATATGGAAACAACCATTTCCATATAGTAAACAATAATGGAAATGGTTGTTTTTAAATAAGAATTAACATATTTATATCAAATTTCACAGACAAATTAAAAGAAATGTTTTAGATTAGTTATTTTATTCTTCAATTATTGGAAAAAAATTGCTTAGTAAAAAAAAAAAAAAGAAAAATTGTGAATCTTCATTTATTTATAAATTGAGTATGTAAGTGAAAACTCACATCAATTTATCACATCAAGTGAAAACTCACATCAATTTATCACATCAAGTGAAAACTCACATCAATTTATCACATCAAGTGAAAACTCACATCAATTTATCACATCAAGTGAAAACTCATATCAATTTATCACATCAAGTGAAAACTCACATCAATTTATCACATCAAGTGAAAACTCAATTTATTAATATATCTGTATAAGAAGCTTATTAATTTCTGTATAAGAAGTTTGAACATTTAAAATATTTCTATAAGAACAATAAATTTGTAAATTGGTTACAGGTAATGAATTTTAGAAAAAAAATGCGACCAGTGTAAGGGTCAGTAGTACCATAATAAAATTATAATTCATTGCTAGTCACAAGTAGATTTAAGCATAATTCACCTACAATCAAACTAATTGTATCTATGAAAATTATAATCTGACAAAATTTTCTGATTTAAAAATTCAGATTTGAAAAACAGTATTCTTAATTAGGGGGGTATTTTTTTTTAACAATTGAACATAAATTTTAATCAACTTTGTTAAATTTTATCATGTAAATATTGTACTTTAAACAATAAATTTTCTCAATTCAAACACAGCATATTTTACGACACTTGTATTCCAGGCTGACGATGGCTGACAATGTACTAGTATTCCAGGCTGACGATGTATTAGTATTCCAGGCTGACGATGTGCTAGTATAACAGGCTGACGATGTACTAGTATAAAGCATTTTATACAAATGAATATGTTTTAATATCTTTTTTTTGAATAATAATTGTTTCTTAACAAAAAAAAAAAACTACAAGGATAATTTCAAACATAGATTGTTTCTCACACAAACACTAATGAACTCAATATTCTTAATGTATATTAATATTCTTAATGTATATAAATATTCTTAATGTATCCTCTATCATGTTCTTATTTTCATGTTCAAACATATATATATATATATATATATATATATATATATATATATATATATATATATATATATATATATATATATATATATATATATGTATATATATATATATATATATATATATATATATATATATATATATATATATATATATATATATATATATATATATATATATATATATATATATATACATATATTACTTATCTTATTTTATTCAATTTTTGAAAAATAAATCACATATACCCCACTAAATTTTCAAAATACAACTACATTCAATTTAAAACTTTTTATTCCACTACTAAATTCTCTATTGTAAACTGAGAACCAAAGTTGTGGAGCATGATTTTAAACAATGAACGGAAAACTAATTATTCTCTAAACCAATTCAAAACAAAACTTAAGCAATAACGAAAATAAATAATGAAAATGAATTAAATATCTTCTAATAAAGCTTTTTTAAATTAGAAATCAATAATTAATAGTTAATTAATTACTATAGATTATTTATACATAATTAATCAACATATGTACATATATTTTATTATTTTAAATGATAACCTTCTTTTTGAGAAATTTATTTTTATTTTTTCGTTGTTTATAGATCCTTTACTTTTACTTTTTACTGTTTATTTGTTTTTACTGAATTGGCAATAAAAAGTATTATAAATTTAATCAAATAAGTTAAACTATAAATTGCACTAACAATAAAATGTGTTTTAAATAAAATTATGTCTTCTTATTTTTCAAACCAATTCTTAAATGTTATTTTTGTCATTTTATTATTTTATCAAAATTTGAATTTTTATTTTACAAAACAATTCTTAAATCTTATTCTTTGAAAAACTATAAATTTTAGATGCTATGCAATGTATTTACACTTTCTTTTAGATTATTAATTCAGAGATTTTTTTTTTTTTTGTTAATTTAATTCACCTCCTCAAGGCCGAGAAGGCCACTACAGACAAGGAGGCTACTTATTTGTGGTTATAACCCTCTCTCAACTCTATAACTCCAAAACACGAACCTTGACGAGCAAGGCCGCTGCGCGGAGAAACGAGTTGAGCGCGGTACTACCAGGGACGTGGTGGGGATCGAACTCGGAACCACTCATTTATGAAGCGAGCGCTCTACCACTACACCACTACCGCATATATATATACATTGAAACTATACTTTATTGTTAAATTATATTTTGTTTAGTATTGACGCATTTTTTGGGGCTTAATGATAAGACTAAACTTGTCTTCTTCTAAAATTTGTAAAATTTTTTCAAAAAACTTTAAAAACAATTTTTATTGGCAAAAGTGTAAATAAATTAAAAAAAAAAAATTAGTTTTACAAACCTTAATGTTTTAATTTCTTCGACTCGACTAGAAAGACCAATATCTAACAGCACTGGTAATACTTCTTCGACAGCTTTCTCTCCAACTTTTGAATACTTAGTATCACAAAATTGAATTGAAATCTGAAAATTGTTTATAGTACAAATACTTTATTGATTTATAAAAAATTCAGGATTTTAAATACTTACTTACAAAGTAAAGTTATGTTGTTAAAGTTAAATTATTCAAGTTAAAGTTAAAATATTCAAGCAAAAGTTAAATTATTCAAGTTTAAGTCCAATTAGTCCAAGTGAAAGTTAAATTATTTGAGTAAAAGTTAAATTATTAAAAGTTAAGTTAAATTATTCAAGTTAAAGTTAAATTATTCAAGATTAAGTTAAATTATTCAAGTTAAAGTTAAATTATTCAAGTTTAAGTCCAATTATTCGAGTTAAAGTTAAATTATTTACAAATTTTTTTTTTTAAGCTTAACTCTTCACAAAGTTCACAGAATTCCTTTGATGTTTTCTTTTAATTTGTAATGTTTCTCTCAAATTCTGTATATTATTAAAAATTCACTTGAAAAATTAAAAATTTTATTAGGACTCCTAAAAAAAAGTTTAATTTGATATCCTATAAGTTGTACATAAAAAATATACAGATGTACATTTAAAAAGTTTAATTTGATTCCTCATAAGTTGTACATAAAAAATATACAGATGTACATTAAAAAAGTTTAATTTGAAGTTGTACACAAGTTTTACATTAAAATTAAAAAAATAAATTAGTTAACTTTTATTATAAGAATAAGAACAATTTTAAAAAAAAGTTCAACATAAATCCTATCTATATAAATATTACAAGTTTTACACACATAAAATACATCAGCTAATTGTTGAAAATTTATCAGCTAATTGTTGAAAGCCTCACCCACAAAGAATCTTTGTAGAATGCAACAGAATCTTTTTGATTTTTTGAATCAGATTTTTTGTGCACTTTAAACACTTTTAGATAGGCAGTTAGGTTGGTATTGCCAAATGACGAACCTAATTCTGAGGGCTGTAAATGTCATTATCATCTCCACACTCATTATTTATAACTTCAAAGTTAGTTCCTTTGTCAAAAGAATCATTTTTATTATTATCATAGGCGCCGCCTAAATCTTCAATATCTTGTTTTTCCTTATAAAGTGTGTCACATGCTCTAAAATGTAGACCACGATTAAGACAAAATTAACCAATAACATCAAAAAGAAAATAAATGTTTTTTTTTTAAACATCTTCATTTTCAACAAGGCTGCAAGCAACGTTATTAAAGCTGGAAGTTATTGGAAGAGAAAAGATGAAGTTTATAGAGCAAGATAACGATTAACAGACAACTTAAAAGATTGCAAATTATATGAATCAGAAAAACAATATGAAGGGAGAAAATTCCAAACCACTGATGTTCAATGAAAAAAACTAGACAAAAAAGAATTTTTGGAGCATTAACACAGGAATGAACTTTCATAGATGGGCACAAGAGATGCTAGCTCTTTAGAGTGGTGCCCATTATAATATTTATAGAAAAGAGAAAGAGAAGCAACATTACAACAATGTGATAATGGTTTAAGGTTGGCAGAAAGTGTAGATCCAACTATGCTTATAATGCATTTTTGCACCTTGTCTAAAAGAAAAAGAACATTATTGGAAGATCTGCCCCAGATATGGCAACAGTATTCCATACAAGGACAGATTTGAGATTTATAGAGATAAAGAATAGAATCCAGAGCAAGAAAGTGGCAAGAAAGATAAAGAGATGCAACTTTAGCAGATGTAAATTTTGCAATCGATTTGATATATGGTTTCCAAGAAAGATCGAAAGTAAGAGTTAAAAACTTAGAGTTAGTCAAAATCTAAGGGTAAATGACTCGTCGAGTTCATTACCGTTTATAAATATAGGAAGATCTATTTCAAATTATTGCGATAACGATAAGCTGAAAAAAATTGAGTTTTATCTGTGTTAAAGTTCACCAGCCACTGAGATCTCCATGCTGCAGCAGAAATGAGATCCTTTTCAAGCTCAAATGCCCCCTTCAAGCAATCAGAGTGTGTTGGCTTCTTATCAAGACAAGAATAAATGGTAGTATCATCAGCAAACAACATAAAAAACTGGTCTTAGAAGCCCTATTTATAACTTACTAGTTTCTTAAGAAAATATTAGTACTAGATTAGTAAAATAGAACCATCAAAAAAAGAAACTCACTAGTACTAGCATGCTCAGTTTTTTTTTATAAAAAAAATGTTAACTACTAAACTTAAGTTATTCATTAAAGTTACTTATTATCCAAATACTATTTATTAAATTGTTATCAAAAAAGAAAATCAAACCAAATTTTAAAACAATTTAAATTTTAAAATCATTTATATTTTTTTAATAAATGTGTTGTTAAAGAAACTTTTCTATTAGCAATTTTTTTAAAAAAGAATTTGAAACCAAGGACTACTATATGGCATATAGTTTCCATACAGTCCTTGTTTCAAACTTTTATCTGAAAATATTTGAATGAAAAAATTCGAACATTTTTATGTTTGAATGAGTTTTTATATTGTTAAAACTCATTATAATATTGAAATAAAATTTAATTGTTACAGCAAGCATGTATTATAATATAGCTTTTGCTCACAGTTTGCAAATGACTAAAGATTGGTCATGCAATATATCTTGTCATTCCATAATTGGGTCATGCAATATATCTTGTACTTCAAAGTACCCTAGCACTGTTGTCTTGCTTACTAATAACTGATACTTAAATGAAACTATAGCAGAGTACGTTGAAGTATTAAGACGGTTTGTCTTTTTGTTAACTATGGTGTTCATCATGCTAAATGATTGCTCAACATGAGAACTACTGAATATACTTAGACATGCTTTGATAATTTCACTAAGCTCTTAATATTTTTCTACACTTAAAAACATATGCCTGCCAATAGTCATACAAGCTGTCCATCAGCAAATACGAATGGAAGCACAATATCTAAAGCTGCATAACTTCTTGATTAAATACTACTTTATTTATATATACAGTGGCAACTTTCTTAGCATTCTCTCTGTAATTTCATGACCTAGAGACATTGTGTCGATGGCAGAGAGGCATTTTAATAAAGAGTTATTAAAAGGAAATTAAATAAGTAAGTAAACTAATGATTCAAGGTAAGCAAGGTCTCAAATAACGATGATTTGAAGTCAGGATTTAAAATAATTATTTTTGACAAATATTTATCAACATTATTTCCAAGGTATATGTAATTCAAATGGAGATTTTTTTATCTTTATGTTTAAAAATTTCAACTTTGTTCCTGTTATATTTTTTATCATTTTTGGCTTAACAAAACAAATTAAAATTGTTTTTATCAGTTAAATTTGCTCATCAAAAACTAGATGGACTAACGGTTTTTTTTGTTTAAAAGTTAAAATGTTTGATTTAAAAATAGGAAGAATTTCAATGCAAAAATTAATATAAAGTAATGTTTCATTATGTAGGTAAATTTTTTTTTTTAAATTCTAGATTTTCTTTCTACACCTTGTTTTGTTAGCTTTTTCTGCAGCATTTTTATTTTTTCTATTAGTTTTTTCCTTTCGTTTGATACCCTGTTTAAAATTTTGTCACTTTCATCTTTATACAGAGAGATGTCCTGTTTTGATAATTAAAAAGAATAAATAAAGGTGAAAGCAAACATCATCTCAAGCATAGGAAGAGTGCAGTCTAAAACAGAAGACTACCAATGAGAAACCCTTTGCTTTAGAGTGTCGTATATGACACCTGTGATTTGACAAATATTTTTACAGAAATGTATGAAGATTTTGGGCTAAACTTAAAATCAATTTAGATATCATCCGGTAAATTTTCAACTACCTTGCTGAAAATAGAAGTAAATTAACGAAAAATTTTTTATACTTATACCAAAAACAAGTTTAGCATGAAAAGCTTCACCTATTCCTGCTCGTATCTTATACAAAGCAGTTATTCTGAACATTCTCAAATTTTTGAAAACATAATGATCTTTAGACATTTCCTTTACATATTCAATAATATGGGGTGTTGAAGGTATTTGAAGATTGTATAGAACAACTGTTGTCATATTTGGGCTGGTTGTTCTAATGATGCTCTTTTTCTTTTTGACAAGGTTCAACAATTCATTGTTAACATAATTGGAATTGCTTTTTTTTCCGCCATTACCTTTCTCTCATAGTCATAAAGTTGCATCTTTTTTTCTTTTCTACAATTATTATCATGGTCTCGAAGAGCTATCATCTCTAGTTCCATCAACCAAAACTCATTCCAGTTGCAAAGTTTCATTGGTTTGCTGTATCTGTCCTTGCTTGCTCTAAATATGCTTATTCATCTAATTTTCTTCCCTGCACTTCAACCTTTTGGAACTCACTCCCATTCTCATGTTTTTTTTTAACTTTTCAAGTCAACTGTTTCCTTGCTCTTTAACTCTATTAACTCTTTTTTGTCTTTTAGTATAAAACCTTTATAAAACCTCCCAACCTAATAGTGGTTGCTTGCAGCCTTATTGGGAGTGAATTAGAATTAAAAAAAGAGAAAAAACAAACAAACAACTTTTAATAACACAATTACACTTTTAATAACACAAAAACATACTCGACTTAATGTCTTTCCGAATGATACAGCAGAGCTACGAACTGACTCCTACAACAAAATTCAAAAAAATAAAATGCAATTAATTAACTAAGCTTTTTTTTAAATTCTTTTTAGATACAACTTACAGAAAAGTACGAAAAAGTATTTGAGGTTATATTCATTCATATCATGAATTTATTATACAATTAAGTTAAATACCAATTTTATAATTGTAATATTGTTTATTACATGATTAATTTGGAAACTTCTAAAAAAAAACAACATATAAACCTTAATATCATCCATAACTTTGAACAATAGTTTCCATATAGTGGGCAATCTTGTAACAAGATTTTCTGCAGGGCATGTACGTACAAGATCATTTAGAGCAAAACAACTAAAAAAAATTACATAAGCTTACAAACAAATAAAGAACTTTTAATGTTTTGAAAAAACTATAATTACCAAGACTGTCGTGTTCGCCATAAATTGCTTGTAATATTTGACAAGATATCCTCAAATATTTCATTAGCATACTTTTCAACCTAAAGTTAAATATTTGCTTTAAATAGAACAATAAAGTGCTATTTTAAGTCACATGATCAAGTCACATAACCAAAACACATGAGTAGAAATTATGAACATGAGTAATAAGATATTTATATTTTAAATTTTTGAACTTTTAGTTGGATTGTAAAGAATATTAAGAATACATATCTAGAACTTTTTAATTGCATATGAAACTATTTTGATGGCAAATTTTTTGTTAAGGATTGTTGCAAAATAATCTACAAATCTATCAGTATTAATTATAAGAATGTGAACTTTAATCAAGATTTAACACATTACTATAGAAGACAAAAGGCATACAGCAAAAATATGTTGGCAGATGAAATTTCACCCCAGATCAAAATGGAGAAAGCCTACAACGCTTTCCTTGTTGGTAAGAAAAGACTTTGCCTCAACCTTTTAAATTTATCAATATATTTGTTGTGGGAAACAAATAATCAAGGTTGACAGATCAATTTGACTGACTTACAGACTAAATGGGCAAATGCTATTTTTTTGTTATTTTTTTAAAAAAATATCTTTAATTTAACAGGTTTTTTGAAAAAAAATAATTTTTTCAATTATTAAACATTTAATTTATGTTTTTTTTTTTTTTAAACATCTTCACTTCCAACAAGGCTGCAAGCAATCACTAATTAGTGTTGGAAGTTACTGGAAGAGAAAAGATGAAGATTGTAAAGCAAGATAACGATTGGCAGACAATTTAAAAGATTGCAAGTTATATGAATCAGAAAAGCAAGATGAAGGAGCGAATTCCGAAGAACTGATGTTCGAGGAAAGAAACTAGGCGAATAAGAGTTTTTGGAGCACTTAGGAACAGTAACAGAAAAAGGACGAGATTTAATTGAATAACAAGTAACACGAGAATGAATTTTAGTAGATGGCACAAGAGACGCTAGCTCTTTAGAGCAGTGCCTATTATAGTATTTGTAGAAAAGAGAAAGAGAAGCAACATTATGACAATGTGACAGAGGTTGAAGGTTGGCTGCAAGAGCAGGTCCAACTATGTTTACAATGCGTTTTTGCACCTTGTCTAAAAGAAAAAGGGCATCATTAGAAGATCCACCCCAGATATAGCAACAGTATTCCATACAAGGCCGGATTTGAGATTTATAGAAATAGAGAATAGAATCCAGAGTAAGAAAGTGTTGAGCTCGATAAAGAGAAGCAACTTTAGCAGATGCTAATTTTGCAACAGATTTGATATAAGGTTTCCAAGAAAAATCAGAAGTATGAGTTGATCCTAGAAGATGAAGGGTAGGAGACTCATCGAGTACATTACCGTTATAAATATAGGAAGGTCTAAATTATTGCGATAACATTTGTCCGAAAAAAAATTGAGTTTTATCTGAATTAAAGTTCACCAGCCACTGTGAGCCCCATGCTGTAGCAGAAGTGATATCCTTTTCAAGCTCAGATGCCCCCTGCAAGCAATCAGAGGGAATTGGCTTCTTATCGTGACAAGAATAAATGGTAGTATCATCAGCGAACAATGCCACCTTAGATGTGAGAATATCTGGAAGATCATTAATGTAAATTAAAAAAAGATAGGGCCAAGGATTGAACCTTGAGGAACCCCTGAAGTTATAGAATAAGAAGAAGAGTGCTGTCTATCAAGGACAACTTTTATACTACGATTGGAAAGAAAGGATTCAATAATCTTAAAGATGTTTCCAGATACATCGTAAGAAGAAAGCTTATGGAGAAGACCAGCATGCCAAACTTTATCAAATGCTTTAGAAATATCAAGACCGATGGCCTTAACCTCTCCACCTTTATCTAATGCGCGATAAAACCTATCGGTTATTACTTATAGCAAATCAGCCGTAGAACGAGAAGATCGAAATCCATATTGATGATCAGAAAGCAGGTTATGAGATTTGAGATGAGAGATTAAGTGTTTGTTAATTAAAGATTCAAAAACTTGCTTATGATAGGAAGAAGACTAATGGGACGGTAGTTAGATGAGTCAGATCGCTCTCCAGAATTTTTAAAAATAAGGATAACAGATGCTGCTTTCCAGCAGGCTGGAAAACAAGACTCTGATAAGCACTTGTTAAATAGTTTTGAAAGGATAGACGACAGCTCCGGAGAACACTTCTGTAAGACTATAACAGATATGTTGTCCGGGCCGCAAGCTGTAGAAGAGTTAAAGCAGGAAATCACTTTAGATACAGAAGCTGGAGTGATACGGATGTCGAGCAATGGATCAACCTGTTTGACGGCTATATCAGGTAGAATGCAACTAGTGGAATCAAGAGATGATATTGATGAAAAGTTCTTGGAAAACAATTCAGCTTTGTCTTTAGGTGAGGTGACAAAGTCTGAACCATACAAAAGAGGTGGAATTACAGACTTGCCCTTATTATTGATACTATTAAAGATTCTCCAGAAGTCACGAGAGCCTAATTTTTGTAATGAAATTCGAGATTTCATGATCTGAGAATAGCGGGTTTTGGCGTTAGACAAAACCTTTTTACAACGGTTCCTAGCAGTAATAAACAGACATCTGTTTTCTGGAGAATTGTTTTGCTGATAGATATGGAAGTGATGGTTTCAATTGGCAATTGCAGTAGCACAATGTGAGAAAAACCATGGAGAAGAGTGAGGCTTGACCTGGAATCGTTGTGAGGGAATAAAGGATTCCATGCCAGCCTGAATCCACAAATTTATGTAAGAAGCACATTTGTCAAGTAGGTCAGGTGAACTTGGCAAGAGATAAGACTCAACAGAAGAAAAGTTACTTCAAAGACCACGAATATTGGTGAATGATAGGTTTAGCGAACTTGGTGATGACTGTGGTTTTTTGTGTTTTATAGTTTTTTCTACTTTATTCATTTTTAAATTTGTTAAAGAACTTGACTCGAAACATTGCTAGTACTCAGTACACTGTTTTATAGCCCAAGCAATTGCCTCATTTCCACTAATAAACCCTAAGCTGTAACAAAGGGCTCCAATGTGGCATGGGCAATGCACACCAAAAGTACAAACAGGGACACCATCCATGCGCAACATGACACTGTTAGTACTCTGATATTTTTCAGCAGTTGATCGAATCAGCCTATCTGTGAGCTACCACAGAGTTCAGGAAACCTGATTACCAGCCAGCCTCAGAACCATAAAACTGAGTTTTAGATTTGGAGATAATAGAATGAGTTGCCTAGTCATAAAAACAGAGACACAAGCAAAACCCATGCACCGAGTCAAGAAGATCCAGCTTTTAACATCCTAAACTGGAAACAATGTATTAAAAATACATCTGCGCCAGCCTAATAGACAACGAAGGGGTGCGAGGCTGGTCAACAGATAGAATCTATTTACCCCTTAAGTTTTAGTGAAAAACCACATGTGAGAATGTGTCTATAGGGTGTGTCGTTCTTTTCTGTTTCTATCAAATTTTAAAAACTTTATTTATTTTTAGAAAATCAATGAAATGCATTTAAAAATAAATAAAAAAGCATTAACATTTAATTTCATAAGTTAATCATAAGTTGTGTGATTTACATAAAATTTGCACTAATAAAATCCATATCAAGTTTAAAAAAATCAAGGATTATTTTTTGCTTTAAATGTTCATGTTGAATAATATAGTTAGTGAATAAAAATATAATACAATATTAATTCTTAATCTGAAACTAACTATAATATATAGTATTTGTCTTCAATCTAAAACTAAAAGTCAAAGATAGTATACATATTGGGCCCAGCAAAATTAGTACCAACAACATCCCATACTTTCGATGCCTAAAAAAATAAATAAAATGACTTGTTAGCCACTGAAAATTCTGAAAAGCTGAGTTTTCAGTGTTATCTTTTAATCCTTAACTACCCAATACAGTGTGATAGAAATTTAAAAACATAACTGATTGGTAAGCAGCAAATGTCAAATAATCACTACACACATTTTTCTTATTATATGTGCTTTTTTATATAAATGTATGAACTATTTGCTAAGCTCTGTGAATAAATACAAATTAGAGGTTTCTCTTTGTAAATAATATAACATATAAAAGTATTATGCACATACTTACGTTAGTGCATATAACTTCTAAATTCATACGAAGAACACACTGGTAAAACCACAGTACACTTTTTGAAAATTTCAAGTTTTACATATTTTCATGATATTTTAGTATGAAGCTATTAATATTTTAAAATACATAACAAAAAAACTATGTTCAAAGGGCAACTTTGAAACAACCACTGTTGTCTTATGTTTACTGCGTAAAAAACACAGTTGTCCAAGTTATCTGTAACTTAACCAATGATAATAAAAACGTAGGTCACATGACTAACTTTAATCTGTAAGAAAAATAATTTGTATGATGTAAACAACATTCACAGAAAAACATTTGATAAAGTTTGATTAAGATCTAAGATTCAAATGTAACAGGAATACCATATAACTGTGTTAATCTAAAGTAATTTGAAAATGCAGCAAAAGATAACAAAAATAATACCATATTTATAATATATAAATATAATATATAAAAATAATAAACATATATATATACATATATTTATATACATATGTCTAAATATATGTAAAAATACATATATATATCCGAGTTCAATCCCCACCATGTCTCTGGTAGTACCACACTTAACTCATTTCTCCGCTCAGCAGCCTTGTTCGCCAAGGTTCGTGCTTCGAAGTTATAGAGTTGAGAGAGGGTTATAACCACAAATAAGTAGCCTCCTCGCCTGTAGTGGCCTTCTCGGCCTTGAGGAAGTGAATTAATAAAAAATAAATAAAAAAATAAAAAAATATGTATATATATATTTTTTTGGTTATATTTTTTTAAATAAAAGTTGGTCTATTTCATTTATTTTGTTTTAATTCATATGGTGTACCATTGTAATTTGGATATCCTAATTAAGACACTTTTTGTATCCTTACAAAGTAAAAAATAGACTCAATAATTTTCTGAACCTGATACAAAAAAAATATGAATGCAACACTCCAGGTCCATCA